TTTCCCCTAATTAATTTTGGCTGTATTTCCAAACATTTTATGATTCTACACAGTTCAATATATTCTGCATACAGCATAAGTCTGATTACACTATAAACTGGTTGAGTTCAAATGATATCGGAGAAAATACAAATGAAGCATTTGAAAAGGATGAAAATAATAAAAACTGCAGGAAAAAATTATTAATGTATGATAGTTTAACAATTGTCTCGAAAGGGACTGGGTATGTTTCAAATCCTTTCATCTGAGTGTTAATGTTTTGATGGGATCATCTTAAATTTAGCTTTATAGATTCAGAAACCTGACCTCTTTAGTTAATCCAGAATTGATTAAGCTGCAAGACTGACTCCAGTTAACCACTAAAAGGCATCAATGTATAAATGTAGTTAATTTACTACATTACTGCAAAGCATTGAAACTACTTATGCAATAAAATCTGAATCCACTAACTAGCTCTGTGACCATGGCCAAGTTGCTAAACCTCTCTATGCCTTTGTGTCATCAGCTGTAAAATGGGATAACAATAAGGTGCTGCTGTGATTGTTAATATTTATAAAACTCTTTGAACAATATATGACACATAGTTACTACATAAGTATTTGTTAAATACAGTAATAATCACTGATCAACCTCTATGGTACTAAAAAACAAAACAAAAACCAAAAACCCACATAAAACACCAAGTTACCATTAAAAGATTCTTCACTGAGCACAGAATAAAAAAAAACGCACACCAAAAAAACAAAGATGAAAGACCTTAGTGGGTAGTTGTCTAATAAAACAACTTGAGAAACAGTTTCTTTAGAGCAGGTTTCTCAACCTCAGTGGTGTCGACATTTTGGGCCAAGATCATTCTTGTTGGGAGTGGGGAGGGGTGCAAAGGTCTTTGTTGTCCATTCTTACTCTAGAAAGTTTAGGAGCATTCCTGACCTCTCCTCAACTACATGTCAACAGCAACACCTCAACCACCACCACCTTCACCCCCAGTTATGACAACCAAAATTGTCTCCAGACACAGCCAGATGTCCCCTGAGAGGCAAAATCGTCCCTGGGTTGAGAACCAATGCTTTAGAGATCTATTTGCCAAACTGAACAATCTGCTCCTCTCAGCTGTTCAAGAACCTCCTTCCCTGTCAGTTTTGGATACAATGACCACCCCCAGTTCGGGGGCTCCCACTTCTAGCTCCATACATTTTAGTTCTTCCTTCTTTGTTTTCTTCAAAGAGGTTACAATGGCTAGTTATACCTAATATTTACAAAGACCCAGTTTTTGGTGGGTTTTCTAGAGATTACATCCTCCTCTTCTAGACCAAATAACAGTGGAATCCATTTATCCCATAGTTTAAACAAAAATAATGCTTTTGGAAGCATTTCACTGTAAATTCCCCACCCATCAGCATCTGACTGAGGCAAGGGAGAGAATCATTTATTTTGAAACTGCACCACATAATTCAATACAGGATAAAATAAGAGGATGTGTGTGCGGCGGGGTGGGGGGGGCAAGAATATTTATTAACATTTTACATCCCAAAATGTGCTATATGTAAATGTCAGGCACTCTCCTTCTCTTTCTCTCAAGTTTTTCAACTATGCTTAAAGGAGGGAAATTGCTACAAACCTGCCTGAGCACTAGAATATAACTTATGATGGCAGCATTCCAAAAAAGCAAAATATATAATGAATCTCAGTAAACTGTCCTTGATACAACTTCTGGTGGAATGACTCTGGAATAGTTCTTTTTTTGGCACCTACACTGATCAAATCTAAAGCTTTCATATAAACAGATACAACTATGGCTCTGGAATATGTATATTTTGAGTAGAAACAAGTAAACAACCCAAGTGTTCATGTATTAAATATCAAAATGAAGAGCTATTAAAAAAAAACTTTTTAAAATGAAAATCTAATAATGGGAAGCAAACTTCTCTGATGCTTATTATGAATTCTTATTTTTTCTTTTTTAAAAGTAAATTATATCCAATGTGTGGTCTGAACTCATGATCCTGAGATCAAGAGTCACATGCTCTATGGACTGAACCAGGTAGGTCCTCCAAATTCTTATTTTAAAGGAAGAAATACAAAAATAATAAGTAATGAGATCATCAAATAACAAAAACTCATTAATGTTAAAATAGCATTTTATGAAAAATCACTATTTTCCCAAACAAAACAAAATTAGTAAGAAAAGGGGTACTACTTTACATTTTTGAAAATCTTCTTAATGTGTGGCTCAACAGAAGACAGATCATCATATATGCTTCTGCATTCAATTTAATACCATATATCATATGTCACGGAGCTTCTGGAAAACTCCACTGTATACCTGGGAGACGATGAGTAAAAAAGGCAAATAATGCCTTAGAATTATCATTAAAATAATTGACTTTGTGGATCTTCTGAAAGATCTCAGGGCCTCCCTTGCCAGGGGTTTAGTACCATAAGTACTGTACTTCAAGAATAGCTATCTAGTTGCTTAAGGACTTTTAATTTTACAAATGTATATGAATAACAAATGTATCTCTTTCATTTTTCAATTAAACGTAAACATGGTCTCAGATTTTTTGTCTAAGACACTGCACACCAAAAACCAAACAACCCCTGCCGCCCCATCAAATTTCATTCACTATCATTCAAAGATAATAAATTCAGGGAAGGGTTTTGTTTTTTTTTTTAAAGATTTTATTTATTTAAGAAAGAGAGAGTGGGTGATAGAGAACAAGCACGGGGAGCTGCAGAGGAAGAGGGAGAAGCAGGGAGCCAGATGCTGGACTCCATCCTAGGACCCCAAGATCATGACCTGAGCGAAAGGCAGACGGACGCTTCATCGACTGAGCCACCCAGGGGCCCTGGGAAGGAAAATTATTAACACTAAACCCTTACAGCACCATATTAACAGTGGTTAAGAGTGTGAAATTACAAAGGTAACTGCGGGACCTCTGACATATAACCTCCTGGTGCTTTTAGTTTTCTCACCTGTAAAATAGAGCTATAAATGTTTCCACCTTACAAGGTTTTATTAAGATTAAACGAGTGGAAAAAAAAAACTAAGAGCTCAGAGCTACACCTGATGTAAAAATCTGATCAAGCTTACTTTTAGCTGTAATTGTCATTTTTAATGTGTCATAAAGTATTTAAAAAAATTTTTTTTTCAAGTGATTTCTACAATCCAGGGTGGGGCTCGATCTTACCACCCAGAGATCAAGAATCAGATGCTTCTTGGACTGAACTAGTCAGGCACCCCAAGATGTCATAAAGTATCAAACCTGAAACATTTGCTCAAGAAAACCAGGTGTGACCAAACCAGCCCTAACAAAATGCAATTACTCCGCATTCACCCCTCAAAATTTTTTCCCTTTGGAGGAATCTCATTCAAATATTGGTTTAAAATAGAAAATAAATGACGGGAAAACACTTAAGAGCAGGACCGTTTTTGAAAACACGCAAGAACTCTAAGGAACAAACGAAGGACCACCCATTAGTTTGTCAATAGGCTTGATGACAAAGTTCATTAACCGAAAACAACTTCAGAAAGTATTGAGTAGTCTAGTTTCTTTACTCACAGATAAGTAACCAAGACTCCTAACTTCTCCAGAGCCATAAGGTGAGAGAGAGACTGAATCCTTCCAGACATAACGGCTTATCAGGGCCTGCAAAACTTTCACTGATTCCAACTGAACAGTGTCCACGTAAATGAATGTAAATCAACTTTGTGGACAGTGAGAGAGGTAAAGACCCTTGCCCTCCTTCCCTTGCCTGGTTCCCAAGGAGTCAAGATAACTTGAGAGCAGTTATTTCCTATTACAAACACAGTAACCGTATCTTTTCTGGGTATACATAGTGCTTCAGAGTTTCCAAAAAGCTTTTCACAGTATCAGAGGGAAGGACATGAAAACATTCAGAATGAAGGTATCTGTTATTTTTTACATAGAATCCTTGCCTCATAATCGAATTTGGAGATGGCTGTTCCCATACAGTCCCTTCAGATCACCTCTGTGCACAACTGCCTTACTGCTTATTTACGCCGCAGTAGCACAATTTGAGGAATACGCGGAGGCAGGTCCAGAGAACCTCAAAACCGCAGGCCAAAACCCAGCGGAAACGGCTGGAGCAAACAGCCCTGTCTTGGGGCGGACCGTCCCTCCCCCAGACCATCAGCACAACAGGGTTTTAGCAGGCGCGACACGCCGCCCCGCACCGCCATCGACCCCGCAGTCCAGAAGCGTCCCGGGAGGGCGGGAGCCACCGCCTCCTGCGCAGCAAGGAGGCGGGCCCGCCACCGCCCGCACCGCCCGCACCGCCCGGCCCCTCCGGCGGCTGGCCCGGCCCCCGGGGAAGCCCCCTTCGCCCCACCCCGGGCCAGGGCCCGCCCCCAGCTTCCCAGGCCTCCTTCCTGTGGGAAGTGCGGCTCCTTTCGCGTCCCCCACCCTCTCGGCTCCGCCTGGCAGCCGCTCCGCCGGCGAGCGCAGGTTGGCCCGGCGAGGGGCGTCTGGGACCCCCAAACTCGCTCGTGCACGAACAGGCCCGCCTCTGCCAGCGGGCCTTGCCTGGGCAACAAGCCGCCGCCCGCCCCCTCGCCACGGGCGAGGTCCTACCTCGCCACCAGTAAGTCTTGGACAAGTCGTGCCAGGTCTGATGCCGGGTGTGGTGAGTGCCGCCGGGGCCCAGGTGCGCCGCCTCGATGAGCCCCCGGCGCCTCTCCGGCTGCAGTACCACCTCCAGCTCCGCGAAGGTCTTGCGGTGCCGCTGCCGCCGCTGGTAGTACAAAGTCCCACCGCGCACCACATAGCAGGCAGCTGCCTTGCGGATTTTACGCTTGACATTGCCCTCGGTGCCCGGCGCATACGGCTCACGCTCGTTTGTCAGGTAGCGAAGAATGGCCCGGTAGCTTTCCTCGCTTGACATCGCTGACGGCGGCTCCCTCAGGGCGCCTGTCAGTGGTGGGGGAGAAAGACAGCGCACTAGCTCCGAGCGGATGCAACAGCAGCGGTGGCACTGTAGGGAGGAACGGCTGTTTCAGTGGTGAGTGCTCTTCGACGGCGCCCGCAGCGCGAAGGGAGAACGGACGAATTGGTAACCAGGGGGAACTGCACTTCTCCAGCGCGCGGGATCCGCTGGCGACTGACAAAATGGCTGCTGCACCACCGGAAGTGACGTGATCAAGGGCAGTGGGTGAGGGAACTGAGTCCTGATTGGAGCGCACTGGCTTTCTAGCTTGAAGAAGCCGACCGAGTGACGTGAGGACTGCGGGCGGACATTTTGGAAGCGGGTAGGCCCTTCCTGGGAGACCAAAGTCGCTTCGAGCAGACATCTTAAGTCCTGGCAGTTTCCCCTTTTATTTTTCCCCTTTCCCATGCTCTGAGCACGTGTAGGAGTTGGTGGGCTGTTGTTATCTTGTCCGAGGTACGCCGAGATGTAGAAGAGTCTGTTTTTGCCCCGCCTACCTTCTGAGATCCCCCGACAACAGGAAAGCATCAGATTTTGAGGTTTTTAGTAAAATGTAAGCCTATGGACGCCAAGACCAAAGACAGCCCATTCACATGTAAAGGAACTATCAGTTAACGTTTAAAATCCAAGTCCCTTAATGATAGGACTTACCGTAATTTCTAAACTTAAACTGTTGGCTCCAAATCACGCATGGAATAGTCGGGATTTTTCTGGAATAATCGTACATAGGGGCAGTTTTCTATATATGAAGGTAATGATGTTGGCAACGAGTGGGGAGGCATAGCTAGCACTCTTGCAGCCTAATTCGCACATATTTTTACATAAATTTAGGGGGAAATTCTCAGTTTTACACCCAGTACTTACTGAATGCACAAAAGGCTGAGGCGACTTGAACTCCCATTTTCCAGTGTGCATTGAGTCCTGTTTCACACTTTTAGCGGGTAGCCCAGAGTGATGGCTGCTGTCACCCCTCCATGTGTTTAATCTGCAGCTCAGACAAGACCACAGGTCTATGACATCCTGCTTGACAAGGTGTCAGGTACTGACAGTGCTTTATTGGCGCCTGAGAACTCCTGGCCAACCCCTCCTCCTCAGGCTAGAGTCTGCAGTCCTTGGGTGAGGCTCTTTTGTGGAGAGAGGTTAGGGGCAGACAACAGGTGAATGCACTGGGCTCAAAATACAGGATTGCATCCAGTCTCTGTAGTACTTGTGGGTGGGGGTTGCAGGAATTAGCAGATGGCTTAGATACTTGAGGAGCATCCTTGAATGACTCTGGCTGTAGATAAGTAAGCTCCGAGTCACAGACAGAACGACCAGATATGGAATTTATTTAGGGTCACTCAATCCATAGAGACAGCTCTAGAAGGAAGAATTAGAAGGTGGAGATGCGCCCCTACCCTCCTCGGGGTGGGGCATCCAAAGCAGATACTCAAATCAGTGCTTCAAGAACTGTGTGCTGGGTCAGCACCATCACTCTTCAGCTGTGAAATCGACCACCTTTAAATTTAAAACATATTTTAAATAAAAATTTAACAAATCGTGTAAGTGAATACAAAAAACTTAAATCTCCTTACACCCAATTCAGTTTTTGCCAAACAAAACCAAACCTGTAAAAGCATTGTGAAGCTCACCATACTTGGATTCGCCTCTGTACCTTTGAGCCAATACGAAGAAAAAGATTTTACAGGTGGTCTAATTGGTCTAAAAGCTAAACTTGCCATCCTCCCCACAGTTATTCAGTGTTTATTTCTAGCTCCTGCTGGGCAGCAGGCTACCCAGTAATCAAAGGTAATTAGAATTGGCAGTTTCATTTTATTAAGATGTAAAGCAGTTCTTTAAAAGAACTTTGTGTCCAAACTTTAGAACTCTATAACTCTAAATTCAAGTTGGGTATTTTGATTGGTTAAGCTTTCCTTGTTAATAGCTAAATAATGATTTATTTTTCCCTGTAATTTCATAAACACTACCACAATAAAAATGATCTTCTCCCCAAGCAAAAGCTTACGTTTCTAAACCAGAGCCAGTGTATCTTGCATATTTTTTTAGGATTGATTTTACACATATTTTTAGTATTCAAGTCCCCCCAAAGGACTATTTATTCCCAACACCTAGTACAATGCTTGAATTTAACATCACCTCCACAGAACAATCATTAGTTCCATCACCTTGGATAGAATGTAGGTGTGTGTGGAGAGGGTGGGATGTGATTTTTACCTTTACCTAAGTATTCTATGTATAAAACCATGTTTCTCAAATGAGGATGAGGCTTATTCAGTTTACAGTCTTAACTTGGCAGCATGGAACACAAGATAATCTCTTACACGAAGTGGAAGCTTTGTCTTTTTTTTAAAGACTTTCTATTTATTTGAGAGACACAGAGTGCATGCAAACAGCAAACAGGGAGAGGCAGAAGCAGGCTCCCTGCTAAGTAGGGAGCCCAACGCAGGACTCAATCCCTTGAACTGCAGGCACCCCAGAGCAAGACTACTTTTTCTTTTTAAAGATTTGTCAGAGCACAAGCAGAGGGAAAAGTAGACTCCCTGCTGAGCAAGGAGACCTATGTGGGACTCCATCCCAGAACCCTGGGATCACAACGAACTGAAGGCAGACACTGAACCAACTGAGCCACCCAGGCATCCCAGTGCAGGCCTATTTTTTTTTTTTTTTCCAAGATTTTATTTATTTTACAGAGATCACAAGTAGGCAGAAAGGCAGAGAGAGAGGAAGGGAAGCAGGCTCCCTGTTGAGCAGAGATGCAGAGAGCCTGATGCGGGGCTCAATCCCAGGATCATGACTGGGTGAAGGCAGAGGCTTTAACCCATTGAGCCACCCGGGCACCCCTGCAGGCCTATTCTTAACTCAAATTATTACTCTTCCTTATCACAATTTACACACAAGTATTTCTTAAACATCAGGTTACCATTTTTCTTTTTGCAATTTTAACTATGATTCTAATTCCCAGCTCAACAAACTATCTTGGAAAGTTGTTATTCTACTCATATGCTAATGAAATTGTACTCTTCTTTTAACTTATTTTCTGGAAGCAAGAGATTAATAGTACAGTTGAATTTTTAACCACTTCTAACTCAGCTATCAACTAATGGTAAGAGATGAAATACCAGTGAGCAAAAGGCAAGCCCAATACAAAGATGTGTCTACCATGGAAAAGGGTACTCAATAAGAAAATAATTAAAAAGATTAGTTCGGCTATTAAATGTAGGCCCAATACAGTCCCTTTTCAGAGTAAAAAAAAAATCACAATATAGTTATAGTCAGATGTTTATTTAAAAATCTGATCCACCAACTCAGCGTTTTCCACCAACTCGGGGTGCAGAAACCTTCACAGGCTTCACAATCTTTTGCTTAGGTGCTGCCTTCGTGGGAGCCTGTAAAAAGATAACATGTTATGTGGCATTATTCCATGCAACTTTTTTTTTTTTAATATTTTACTTATTTATTTGACAGGAAGGGAGAGAGATCACAAGCAGGCAGGGGCTGGGGGAAGCAGGCTCCCTGCTGAGCAGAAAGCCCGATGGGGTGCTCAATTCCAGGACCCTGGGATCATGACCTGAGCCTAAGGCATAGCCTCACCCACTGAGCCACCCAGGCGCCCTCCATGCAACTTTTTAAAATCACCTTTCTCATGTCCAGATTCTCTATGTATTCTAGATTTCCCTTATTATATATTTAATTACATTCCCAATATTCTTAAGAGTCACCCTCCTCCTTCAAGCAATGAGTCTCAATTATATGGTTTCGCTTACTTGTGGAGCATAAGAAATAACACAGAGGACATGGGGAGACAGAGAGAACTGAGGTGGGGGAAACTGGAGGAGGAGATGAACCATGAGCCACTGTGGACTCTGAGAAACAAACTGAGGGTTTTGGAGGGGAGGGTGGTGGGGGGGTTGGGTGAGCCTGGTGGTTGGGTATTATGGAGGGCACATATTGCATGGAGCATTGGGTGTGATGCATAAACACTGAATTCCAAAACACTGAATAAAAAAAAAAGTCACCCTCCTCCTGAGAAGTTAAAAGTCCACTTCTATGTATGTAAATGAAGAAAAAAAAAAAGATATCACAGACTGGAGGGATTAAGTGAGGAGATATGTGTGTGGGACCCTGAACTGTGTCCTCAGAACAGAAAAAGGACATTCTTAGTCACCTGAGACCAATGGCTGTGAAAATTTTACTATGGTTATTTAAATTGATAACACTGAGAAAAGCTGGGCCAACCCTGTACTGTTACTGAAAACTTTAAAAACAAAAGCCACCTTTATTTTCCCCTTCCCCAATTTTTGTCTGGAAAAGGACCTCTGAAATCTCCCACCCAGAAACCAGTTATGGGGGCGCCTGGGTGGCTCAGTGGGTTAAAGCCTCTGCCTTTGGCTCAGGTCATGATGGTCCTGGGATCGAGCCCCACATCTGGCTCTCTGTTCCACGGGGAGCCTGCTTCCTCCCCTCTCTCTCTGCCTGCCTCTCTGCCTACTTGTGATCTCTGTCAAATAAATAAATATATTAAAAAAAGAAAAAAGAAACCGGTTATAAACATCGTTTTCATTGAAGCCTTGTGCTGAATTCCTTAAAAACTTGAAGCTTTTATTAATCACAATTTGAATTAAAAATCAATTTTCCTGTTACTTATTATTTTTTTTATTTATTTTTATTTATTTATTTTTAAAAGATTTTATTTATTTATTTATTTGACAGAGAGAGAGAGAGAGAGATCACAAGTAGATGGAGAGGCAGGCAGAGAGAGAGAGAGAGAGAGAGAGAGAGAGAGAGAGAAGCAGGCTCCCTGCTGAGCAGAGAACCCGAAGCGGGACTCGATCCCAGGACCCTGAGATCATGACCTGAGCCGAAGGCAGCAGCTTAACCCACTGAGCCACCCAGGCGCCCCATATTTTTTAAAGTAATCTCTATACCCAACATAGGGCTTGAGTTCACAATCCCAAGGTCAAGGGTCACATGCTACATGTGAGCTAGCCAGGGCCCCTCCTGTTACTTTAGATAAGAAATCCAAGACAATCTCAGAATTACCTTAGCAGCAGCCATTGCTGTCTTTTTAGATGCTTGCTTAGCCTTTTTTGCTTCCTTGGCAGCCCTGTGGAGTTAAAAATAACTTAAGGTAATGTGTTTTACTCCTTAAGAGTACAGTTTATTAACAATAGGCTAGAGTGTTTTGGGAAAGAATTATCATATTCCTTCCCCATCTGCAATTATTTGTAGGATAAATCCAAAGAATTTGTCAATAAATGTCATTAACCACCAAGTCAGCTTAACAGAGATTAGCAATTGTGCAGTAGCTTTAATTGCATAAAAAATTTCAACAAGTCATTAAGTATATACTATATTATAAACTTCTGCATTATTAAACTTTAATATTTATGACTGGCAATTTCTATATAGATGCAAGTATCAAAACACAAAATAACATAAATTAGATTCCTATGTCTATAAATCTGAACATAACCTATAATCCATCCCAACAGCTGAAATCCTTATAATGAAGGCTTCCTCACCTGATG